CTAATAGACTCTCTGATACCTTAAGGATTGCATGCATGGAACTGCGAGTGATTCGCAATTGAGAAATAAGTTCTCTCCACGAAAGAAAAGAATCGTGGAGTCGTCAGGACGTAACACTAATAAAAAAAAAATAATTGCAATAGCAATAATTTTTTCGTTTTTTTTTATTTACAGGTACCTACATTATTTTGGCTCGGGCCAAAAATTGCAGACGCAGGAAGTGGACTGCCAGAAGATGAACGACTGCGCCATCCGACTGCCGAGCGAGAAAGACAGGTGGCTTCAATTTGGCAACCACTGTAACCGGGAACGCGTACCGTTCGTAGTATACCCCGACTTGGAGTGCGTCCTGCGAAAGACGGAGCCCAACAAGGAAGACGCGTCGTCGTACGAGTATCAGCGGCACGAGGTATTTAGTATAGGATACTACATGCGATGTTCGTACGATGACACGTTATCAGCATATCAGTTCCGTCGCGACAAAAACTGTATAGCATGGTTCGCGCGACAGCTCAATGATTTGGCGCATCGCGTCAAAGATATTATATCCGCCAACGTGCCCATGGAAGCTTTATCTAAGCAGCAATGGGAGGTGTACCGCAGCGCGACGCGTTGTCATATTTGTGAGAAGCCGTTCGCGCGGGACGATACGCGGGTCCTCGATCATTGCCACTTAACCGGTAGATACCGCGGTCCAGCACATTCAAATTGTAATCTTAATCATAAAAATTCATTTAATATTCCAGTTGTATTTCACAACTTGTCGGGGTACGACGCGCACTTTATAATTAAAGAAATAGCTACCGCGTACGACGGACATGTAGATATACTACCGATAACCAAAGAAAAATATATTTCGTTCACGAAACATGTCGAAAAAATTTGCGTAAAATTAAGGTTTATTGATTTCTATAAATTTCTCAGTACAAGCCTCGATAAATTGGCGTCGTTTCTAAGCAGAGACAAATTAAAAATCGTACGTTCCAAATTTCCAACATTATCGGACGAAGAATTTGAATTACTCACGCGAAAAGGCGTATTCCCGTACGAGTACGGGTACGTTGACTGCGTCGACAAATTAAATGAGCGATGCTTACCACCTCGCGAATAATTTAAAGTTTGTTGATGAGCGATACAGTATCTGAGAGCGATTACGCTCACGCCGTGAACGTATGGCAGCGATTTTCCATCCGAACGTTCGGCGAGTACAGTGATCTGTACTTGAAAACAGATGTCTTGTTATTGGCTGACATTTTCGAAAATTTTCGTGAAAGTTGTGTAGCGGGTTACGGTTTCGATCCCATCATTATTACAACCTTGCCTGGTTTCACGTGGGACGCAATGCTAAAATATACCCGCGTAAGATTTGAGTTGCTCTCCGACATCGATATGGTCATGTTTATCGAGCGCGGTATACGTGGTGGCCTCAGTCAATGTTCCGGTAGATACACGCAGGCTAATAACAAGTACATGTGTTCGTATGACTCATCGAAACCATCATCATACTTGATGTACTACGACGTTAACAATTTATACGGGTGGGCCATGTGTCAACCATTGCCATACGCTGAATTTCGATGGATCAAAGATGTTGTGAACTTTGACGCGCGCGCGATAGCTCCGGATTCGCCCACCGGTTACATTCTCGAAGTCGATCTCGAGTATCCGCAGCATCTGAACGATCAACACATTGACCTGCCTTTCTGCCCGACGCGCGATAAGCCGCCCGGCAAGCGCGAGGATAAACTTCTAGCGACGCTGTACGAAAAACAGCGTTACATCATCCACTACCGAAACTTGCAACAATGTACTCGTCACGGTCTTCGCGTAACAAAGATTCATCGAATACTACAATTTACTCAATCTCCATGGCTCCGCGAGTACATTGAACTTAATTCACAATTTAGAATGCGCGCGAAAAACGATTTCGAAAAAAATTTGTATAAACTAATGAACAACGCGGTATTCGGCAAGACCATGGAGAATGTACGCAACCATGTAGATGTAAAATTAGTAACGAAATGGGATGGACGATATGGCGCGGAGGCAATGATCGCGAAACCGAATTTTCACAGTCGCAGCATCTTTGCGGAGAATCTAATCGCCGTCGAACTGCGCAAACTCGAGGTGAAGTTCGATAAGCCGATTTACGTGGGCATGTGTATACTCGACATATCGAAAGTCTGCTTGTACGAATTTCACGAGTATATGTTACCACTGTTTCGTGACAAATGTAAAATTATGTACACCGACACAGACAGTCTTATATACCGCGTCGAGTGCGAGGACGTTTACGAGACTATGAAACGCGATATCGCTAGATTCGACACGAGCGATTATCCGACAGATAACGCGTACGGTATGCCTCTCGCGTACAAAAAGGTACCAGGTCTGATGAAGGACGAAAATAATGTTGCGATAATAACCGAATTCGTTGGTCTCAGAGCGAAGATGTACGCAGTGAGAGTGGATGGTAATAAGGACACTAAAAAAGCGAAAGGCGTAAAGAGTAACGTCGTAGCGCGAACGATAACGTTCGACGATTACACGCGGTGTTTGAACGAAGAGATTGAAATCACTCGTCGTCAATCGTGTATAAGATCTAAACTGCACGAGGTATACACGATATCCGAATCGAAAATCGCTCTGAGTCCATACGATGACAAACGATACGTCGTACCGGACTCGACGGAGACGTTACCGTGGGGACATTGGCGGATACCTTTGTAATTTATATGTGTGGTCGAGTGTTAGTCGTGCTTATTCTGTTACAATGCAGCGGCCGTCGCCATCGGCCTCTCTGCCGCGTCGATAACTAATCTTAGGAGGTCTCTTCCATCGGGCTCTTACAAATGACCAGAAAGTATGTCCGTTCTATGTGCAGTATATTTTACACTAGTATTTACAGAGTATTTGGTGGCCCTGAAAAGGGCCGATTGTGAGTACTTTGTGTGGCCCTGAAAAGGGCCGTTTGATGCGGCGCGGATTACGCCGTCAGTCGCTCCCTGTATTCTATCTCCGGCAGGCAGCGCGTCTTCTTCGTTGGCCCCCAAGGTTGATTGTTATTATGGTCGGGCGCCCTCCAGGCCGGTGGTGTTCCCGGCGGCGTGTGCGGCGACGGGGGCTGCCGGCGCGTCCCAGGAGGCGTCTCCCAGTCGTCCCTTGTCGTCTGCGTGCCCGTCGAGAGTCGCGGTGGAGTCTCCGGTGACGGGGACACAGCTGCTGGCGGTGTTGTTGCCAACGGTGAGAGGGCCGCCGGTGCCGTCAGATAACAGGGCGACGTCGGTCTGCGCAGCCTGCTGTCCCAGGTGCTGACGAGGGCCCTCGGTGGACGGGTGAGCCTCCGGCGTTGCGGCGAGATCTCCAAGGGCACCAGCCGCCAAGGTGTAGGTGATGGTGACCTTGGGGTGTCCGGTGGCGCTCGCGTACCTCGTCCCCTGCTCCTGCTGCTGGTGGCTCCGCGTCGTCTGGTAGCCCTGCCGCGCTATGGCGTCCATTGGTGGTGCGGCGGTGTCTGCTGCTGCTGCAGCGGCGGAGGCTGCTGCTGCTGTTGCTGCGGCGGAGGCTGCTGCTGCGATGGCTGCTCCGTAGGCTGTTGCTGCTGAGACTGATGCTGCCGCTGTACTGGTCCAGCTGGCACTCTGCCGGGCCTAGTCCTCTGCCTCTTCAGTTTGCTGTCTGTATTCTGCACTGCACTGTAGGCGTGTAGCGAGAACGGTGGGCACTGAGCGAATTGTCGCTGTTTCGGCGGGCTTATATCCCCCGCCGGGCGGATCTTGAGCGCTAGCCCGCGTTTGTCTCGCCAGCCCCCTGGGGGTGAGGCCGCGGTACCTGTAATTCGCGCGTCGCAAGCACTTGCGAGAAACTTCGCAGGTGTGCTCGCGTGCGCTTCAGGCAGTGCGGCGGGTCCGCGTTCGTCTGGCGTTCAGTGCCTGCCACAATATGTATCAACATTTATATTACTATTATGTTTATACATTTTTTTATACTTCCATACACTGAATATGTATTACTATTTTGCTTTATGTATTACAATTTTCTTATGTATTATTCTAATTTGTATTTTGCGTATGTTTTTTTCAAGATTTTTTATATTTTTTTCATACAGTGAATATGTATTACTATTATGCTTTATGTATTACTATTGTGCTTTATGTGTTACTATTATGCTTTATGTATTACAATTTTCTTACGTACTTTAATTGTACTTCGTGTATGTTTTTCTGCATTTTTTTTTTATATTTTCATACAGTGTATATGTATTACTATTATGTATTATCATTATAATTATAATTTCTTCATGCATGTTTTTTACTTTTATATAAGTATTACTATTATGTTTTATGTATTACCATTTATTACGTATTACTATAACTTTTTTCATTTCATGTATCATACATTTATATACGTATTTTATATCTGTGTACTCCAAAACGAAGATGGAAGGGATAATAAATATATTTTATACGATTATATACTTATATTGATATATTTGTTATATCTATACAAAATATATGAATGAAAATTTTATCAAATGACATTGTTTTTGTGTATCCATGAATTGTACGATCCATCGAATCCCAACCACTTGACGTACACCTTGTCTCCCTTCCAGCGCAGTACTTTCTCCACGAGATACACGTCTGGATGAGTAGCGCGATGCGATTCGTGCTCATAGAACGCTCCAACGACGGATTTTCCGCGATAGTCCTCCAGTAGATAGGTTACAGGATTGGTACGTTGCAGCTTAACGATTGTAAACACCTCGGTGGTCCAATTTGGCGTGTAACCCTTCTCAAAAACCGTCTTGTACTTGCTCACGCGTACCGATCACTTGCTCACTTTATCGCGATCTACACTGTGCCCAAGAGTCTTTCGGCGATCGCGGGAG